AATATAATATAATATAACATAATAAGCCCCTTAAAGGATTATAAAGAGGTCTAGGTTGGACATTGGACAACTTTTTTCTCAGAAAATCCTGCTCCCTAAACATAAAGCAGCTTCTAGGATTGATGGTTTCCTACCTGCTCTGCACCTCCTGGTAGGGAGTTCAGCCACTTGGTACCATCGCTGTTCCTCAAAGTCATAACACTCAACACTCCGGATAGCTTTAGGAGCCTGACCACCAACCACCACCATCACCTGAACACCAGAGAAACAGCAGAAGTGTAACGAGACACACTGCGGGACATTTAACCCTAAGTTGTTGACTCCTCTGGTCAGGAGAAACTCAGCRCTGATTGTGTCTGTACCTTAGGACAGCAGGCGGGAGTTCTCATTCGAGTGCGAGCCGTCTTCATCAGAGCTCTCTGATCAGCTGGCAGAAGGTGGTACTTCATGGCCTCAATCAGGTAGTCTTTACACGCACTGCTGTTCTTTATCAGGGACTCCTCTTCCACACGCTGACACAAGCCCAGAGTTCAGACAGCACGATTCACAAAGTTATGAATCATTAGAAAACATTTGTGTTCTCTGAACATGTGAAAACAGTTTTTGCTGTGGCTTTTTTCTCTAGTTAACTGTAGTCTTACATCAGCCAACATTGGATAAATTCTAAATAAAACTGTGGACTATTTAACATTTGTTTGAAAAACATTGTTATACCTCTGATTTAGTGTTGGTGAACACATGAGTAATAAATCTGGCAATACTGAGTCAAAGAAGTGTCAGTTTACTGTGAAGTTGTTCAAAACCACTTTGTAAAGGTTTTGTCTTGAAATTCACAACTAATAATAATAGCCAGTTTTAGCACTATACATAATAATATGCCTTTACCTTTTAAAAGATGGTGATGAATAACATTTTTTTAAATTATTACTATTAAACTTTTATTTTTCTTGGAAAAATCCCTATTAATTAAACAAACTATTTTAAGGGAGTCCTGCTCAATGTAGGTAGTAAGTACGATTAAATTACATAGTTGCACATTAAATTACAGAAAGAAAAAAGAATCATAAGATTACGAAATGCATTTAAAACAAAACTAAGAACATGTCTATATATATAATTTATCTGTATCAATTTAAAAGCTCTCAATGATATTAAGTTTTTTCATTTTCAATTATTCTGCAACATATTCCATACAAAASGTGCAGAATAAACAAACGCCTTTTTACCCATTTCTATATGGGCAAATAAAACTGAAAGCTACAAAATGTCAAATTTCAAAACATTAAACTGGTCACAGAAAATGGCAAAGCACACACATTATCGCTAACAATTAATGGTCTCGGTTGTTTTTAATTWAAAAAGAAAAACTTTAAGTGAGCTTCTCAGCAATGTCCAAGTGCAGCCAAACGTACCTGCACCAGGTATTCTCTGGAGAGGAGCGGCAGGCGAACATGCTCCATCAGGTGTGCCAAGTGCTCCTGGCGGACATCTTTGTCGTGGTTTACCCAAGCTACCACAGCTTCAAACACCTGAGCAGAAAACCTCACGTTAACGCTGTGCAATCATTTGACTGTGGCGCCACAAGGTGAAAGGTCGTACCTTCTCCTCTGTGGGGATGGTGAGCTTATCGCTGGCGATCAGGCTGGACACTTGCTCCATGCCCAAATTGAGAAACTCCTCCGTTCCAACCACCTCAGTAAAATGTTGCTCTGTCAGCACGAAGAGAAACTACTTCTGAACGGCTGCAAACAAACACTAAAGTTTTTTTTTTTTAGGACAGCATCTCTCCTAACTTTAATTAATTCAACCTGTCCTCATTCTGTCTATTTATTGTTCCACGTCCTCCTGGACGCACACAAACTCATTTTAACGAAGCAATAAAGGACAACTGTTGAATTTTGAGGACACAAACCTGCATAGCTATTAGCCTGCGCGAGGAGTTGGGAGCAGGCATGTAGGTCGGCAAAGGCTCGTATCCCCAGACAGTTGGACGGATGCAGCTGGGCGCTCAGGAACTCACAACAGGCCTTCTTTACCTCATTGAGCTGAAGCAGTCCTGCTGCAGGCAGGAGAGCCTGAGGAACACATGAACAAGGTGTTCACGCAGGTGCAAGACTCGTCTCGAGGTCTCATCAGATCCAAAGTTTCCATAAAAGTTACCTGAACGTTATCCTCTGTGACCTGTATCTCTGCTGTGTAGATATAATCTACCAGCAGGCCCAGAGTCCAGCCGTCCACCTCCTTTATTCTCACTCGCTTGGCCCTGCTCTCCGCCATCTCCCCTGTTTGTAAAACGCCACGTTAGGGTTCCACCGACACAAAAACACTCAAATGTGAGCTGGCAGACGGTCCTTACCAGTAAACATGGCGTGAAAGTAAGGGCTCCCGGCAGCCAGAACCACTCTGTGAGCCGCCATCTCTACATCCTCTGCAACAATAGTGACGTCGCACAACAGGCTCTGGCTGCGTGAAGGACGTGGAGACAGAAAACTGGTTATGGAGGGTCAGGCACGTGGAGGATTTAAGGAACTGAGAGTTGAGATCACCTGCGCAGCTCGTTCATGACTTTAAACGCCTTCCTCATGTGCCGAGGGTTCAGAGTGACGGGACCTTGTCTCTCCACGCCGTCCTCCTTGTCCAGAGAGTGTGGACAAAGCCTGGTGCACCTGGGAGGGAGCGCGCAGAGGGGTAAAAATGGAACACACAGATAAGACGAAGGCAAGTGGAGCTGTGATAAATCTTAATCAGCGTACACCTCTGGGTGTGTTACTGTACCTACCTACACTGCAGTCTTAACCTAAATATACACAGTTAAAGCAGAGTTTCACTTGTTCTTTGGCAGCCTGTCACAACAATGCAGTTTGCTCATATTTCTTTAGTTCAATCTAGAAATAAATCAATTAATCAGTGCCTGCCTAAATACTTAATCAATAACCAAGTGGGAAAATAAAAAGCCAGCTCACTGTAGCCCATAATTTTAGTTTTACTTATTTATTTTTGAGACTGCACTGCTTCATTGTATTTTTATTATTTTTATTCTCAGGATTATTGAACTTACATTTGTTTAAGCTGAGCAAATATTGTTATATTTTGAAAAAATGAGAAATACTCATTGACGAAATAAACAAACAAACAAACAAACAAATAAATATCTTGGCTGTCCTGATTTCTAAAGATTAGCATCAGTGAAAGAGAAACTCATGAAAACTACAAAAAACAATATATTTTCACACACACACACAGAAAGTTATTTTAACACCAACAAAATGATTTTCAAAGAGCTACTGGATGATAGTTGGATTCAGTTAGATGGATGAGACATTTGTGCAGGTCCCTTGTTGGATCTTAACTGGATTTTTTTCTTCTTTTTCATAAAGACATGACTTTCAGACATTGTTCATCTTCTGCAAACAGTTTTARTTCTGACACTTTTGTCTCGACCACTTTATTTTTCTTTTACAATGCTTAAAGTACAAATATAATGTTTTCTACTGTACATATGAACTAATAACAGAAAAAAAATTACTAACACAATTGTTATGTTTGTTCAAATTTGAAATGCTGCAAAACAAACTCAAAACTTTCTGCAGAAGTTCTCGGACATTAAGCTGTAAACCAACTTAACTAATTTCTTTTCTTGTTCTGTTTGTTCTCTAACCTTTAGTTAGTATTTCATGATCACACTTGGTTTTCCCATCACACCTGAAAGTTGCACTCACTGATACAGTGGTGACAGTAAATTTTCAATATATTGTACAGTCACCACAGATAAAACATCTTTTTAAAAACATCAAAATATTAAGTAGGTATAAACGCTGAATTAAAACAAATGCAAATCCGTGCAATTATCCCTGAATCAAACATTTAAAATGTTTCATATAATACAGAATGTTTAAAGCAAATTTCAAAATATCCTTTCATAAACGTTTTCTGTAGCAGGACAAATGAAAGAATACTTTGTTATAGTTTCATAAATTTATTATCACTGCATGCCTATGAATCACCTACTTAAACAAAACAATYAAATATTAAAAATCGAAGTAGGTGAAAAAATATATACATATAAGAGCAGAATGTGAAGTTGATGCATCTGATTAATTTCCACCTCTGGCTCCTCTCTTTCATAATTAAACTGTTGTGATTTATGCTGCTCGTGGCAAAATCACGTCGCCCCTGTTTTCTGTCTCACACACAGATCTGTGTTCACGACCATCCTCTTTGTGCCACAAACAAAAACAGCATTAACAAACAACAACAACAGCAGCAGCAGCAGCAGACCGGACCCTGCAGCTCCATCCCCGGGTATCAATCCCCGCTCTCCCCGATCAGAAAGCAGCCTCCCCGGCTGGCCAGTGTCTCTGTYAATGCGGCACCATCCGTCAAGCAGCCACTGGGAAATGTCAAAACACACACGCGCGCGCGCGCGCACACACACACACACGCACACACACTTACAGCGGATGATTGTCCATGATTCCGGTGTTTTTCAGAGGCTGAAAACTTGGCCCAGCAGCATGCACCATTCCATATCCACCAGGTCCTCTTCGAAGGGCTTGAATTCAGGCGTGAATCGCGGCGACGGTCGGTCCAGAGGTGGACAGACGGGCTGACATCAGCCCCATATTAAAGCAGCCTGCTCCTCATAAATACACACACAGACCGACTGCGGTGACTGTCTCCACACGCGCACGTTTCGCTTCAGCCCAGTTGAGCCCCTCCGTCCGACCCCAAAGACACGCGCTAAAACGAGCCTTCACCGTGCCAGGCCGGGTTTATTTTTACTCAGGTTTTCCTCCCTCTTTCCTCCTGGGTGTAAATGGGTGCGAGAGGCGGCCGAACAAGGATACCTGTTATTTTCTGATTAAAACAAGGACGTGTCGGCAAAGACGGTCCTGGACGCAGCCAAGGCGTCCCAGAAGAAAGCGCTGGCGCCATCTAGCGGTGGAAGACTGAAGGACAGCCTGGATGAACCCCCTACATTACATTATTATAATGATGCAGTAATAATAAAATACACAAAATCACAGTCCAATCATTTCCCTCTTCTAATAACTCCTGCGTTAAACGATACATTTACCGAAACAAAACAATGTAAATACTGAGGGCTAAAGTCTTCACTGAAATTTGATTAAATTGAAACCTCATTAAAGTAAAATGATCCGAATTAAAGCTCAAATTGGTCAAACAGCTGAAAGCTAACACCAGCAAACAGTAGCTAAAGGCTAACACTAACAAATTAATAGCTAAAAGACAAAACTGGAAAATTATTAGCTAAAACCTAAAAAAGACAAAACTAAGCTAAAWGCTGAAATGAGCTTAAATTTAGGAGAACAGCACTTCAAAGCTCAATAGCCAAAACAGCAGCTAAAAACAGCAAAATAGCAGCTAAAACCTAACACCAGCAAAACACAAACTAAAAGCTTAAATTGGCAGGACAATAGTAAAAAGCTAAAATCAACAAATCATTTGTTAAAAGCTAAAAATCCAGCATGCAAAAGCAAATTATAAAGCTTTTCATGGATTTGAAAAATTCATTTCAATGAGAAAAAAATACAAATAACTATTTCAACAAGTATGAAAGTTGATTAGGTCGTAGCCGTAATGTCCTTTGATTAAAGTAAGGTAACTAAAATTTGTACACATCACTGCAAACTTTTGTTTACATTAAGAGCTTAGAGCACAACCTTTAAAGAAAGCTTTGTCTCCTGATCCCATCTGTGAGGACTTTTGTCACTTTGCACCGTCTGTGAACAGTCAGGAGCTAAAAGACGACAGAACAAGTCTGTCATGGTGTGAAGACACTGAATTCATCAGAGGAAACAGAACGACTGGAAGCTTCTCTGTGATGACTTAACGCAAAAAATTACATGGAATAAAAAGTAGTTTTATGAATGACTGACATTAATTGGATGTGATATTTTACGCAGAGAGACATAACTTTGAAAGAAAAATAATCCAGATATAAAATTGTGGGAAATATAACCAGTGTCTAAACAATCATATATTTTCATACAATTAAATAAATTGTTGGATCCTGCTCTTATAATGTAGTTTATTTATATCATATCATTTTAGCTTTATAAATACAGGTTTACGTGTCCAGTTTGTAACAAGATTAATTAATGTTCATTTCTCAGATTTTATAAAGCTTCTTGAAACAATAGTTCTTAATGCTTTATAAATCATATAAACTGCAGTGAAAGAATGAGCTCCTAAAATAGAAAGAAAACGTTAAAAAATATTACCATTAACATCCATGATACTAAAAATGGTTTATTGCTACAGTAAAAAATAGTTTTGGAAATATCTACACCAAAAACAAAAAAACAATCCCTTCAGTTCTGCAATGACAGCACACTTAACTTGACAACTACATACAGAGAGCACTTCAGAGCAGAAAGGAACTACTATCTCACAAATGTCTTTTTTCTTCTGTTCAGTTCKATTAAAGTTTGTACATCTGATGAACGCAGGCACGTGCATCTCCAATCAGCTGTACTGCACTGCCATGTCAGATAAATCACTCCACTTTCATCTAGAAATGTGTTTTTACTTTTAAACAAGATGCTGGAGCAGACTGGACCAGACTGACTGTGTTAGCTGGGTTTTAAAGGAGCAGGTGGCAGACTGGCTGAGGCCTGTTCCAGAAAGGCCAGAGGTCCGGGAGGAGGAAGGTCTGTGGGTTTACGATGCTGACCACTCAAATCTTCAAGTACTTGTTGCCAGTGGTGCAGCTTGGTCAAATGCTTCTGAACCAGCATTTCTTTCCTCTGAAGCTCGTTGCGCAACTCTGACACATCCTGAAGTGAGAAGGGRGAAAAAAAATGTACTTGAGAGATCCCAGATAAACAAACAGGAGCGGAATAAATCGTTTACAAAYGCCAAACACGAGTGAGTCTCAATTGTTTACCTCTTTCACCACCTGCTCTGGTTTCTGCACAGACAGCTGAAGTCTCTTCTGCAAGAAGAAGCACTCGGTCTGTCGAGCCACGTCCAGGAACTTCTGTATGCACTGGTCCACTCCTACATCAAACAGAAACACACGATCTATTGTTCAGATTATAGTAAATACAAGCAGCAACACAGAAATGTGGAGCGTCGCTGACCAGTTCGAATCTCCTCCTGGTCTGTTCCGTTGACATAATCTTGACTTACTAATGAAGAAAAACAGGCCTGAAAGACAAGAGAGGAAATCAATATTTGGAGAGAAAAAAGGAGAGTGTTGGGGTTCAGTAAGAAGAATTAATGAGAAACAATAAAAACAACATGATGCCTAAATGTTTAATTTAAAAGATGAACGTGAATCTTTGTCAATAAAAAATAGGTTGGTTGTCTGTAAACTTTGCATTTGTAAGTACAGTATAGACAATCAGGAAAATATTACTGCTACATTATTTACTTTAACACTGACTGATGCTGACTTTCCAACTAACTTAGAGGATTTAAATATCTGTCATTTACGGTTCTAATTGTTGCTGCTGGCTTGTTTTATACTTTAATTTGTATTTGTGGCAAATGTCATTGTTCAAAGTAAACAATAACCAATGTTTAGATGATGCACCTGATAGGTAAATTCACWATGTTTACGCTACATTCCGCCTGAACAAAAGCCATCCAAGTCTTGCACAAACAAGAGTGTGGGCATAATAAAAATATAGCCGTGTAGTCATACTAAAGACTGTAGATAGCTTTTATATTTATRTCCACTGTTTTAMTAGCGATTTTAGCTCATCGCAGCTGAAGCTAGCGCGGCTAGCAAACGCTAGCACGCAGAGCTAATGAAGTGTTAGCCTCTTACCTCAAACGAAGCTTCTAGTTCATCCACCAAAGTGTTATTGCCCTGGGGCCGAGGAGCGGTACCAGGAAAGCCAGGCTGACCCGGTCCACCAGGACCACCGACAGGATGCGAACCAGGCGGCTGCTGACCGGGAAACATCCCACTCATGGACGAAGCCATCTTTCCTCCTGCGCTCTGCGCGCTCTGCACATGCGCACTTGTTCCCCGTGTCAATTTTACTTATAACCTAATGAAACAAAACGAAAACAAAACTATGCAAATTTGCTAAAAAACAAAATTATATAAAAAAATAAAAATACAAACCCGATGTCTGGCCGTGGTAAGGACACATACAGGTCTTAAATTCTGCAACAMATCTGGGCCAATTTGAGGCAATTTCATCAATTATTGCTTGTTTCTACATGTCTTTACACAGCCATTTAATGCAACACATCTTAAACTGAAGTCATTTCTGTGGGTAAGTTATTTTTCAACAACTAACTAATCTTAACCGTGTCATTGTGTCTGAGCAGGAGCTAACATCTGCAGATATTTCTTATGAAACGATAGGAGTTTAGATTATTTTATTTGCCATTTATAGTTTATTATAATAACCTATAAAACATGTAAGTAAAATGTGAACAATGAAATGATAAGAAAAGAATATTTAACTAAAAAACAGCTAATCTCAATCACACAGTTCCACAAAGTATTCCTATCATCCTTTCATCATGGACGAATTATACTCTGAAGTTTGGTTCTGGTCCATGTATGAAGATCACCACTTYGTTCTGAGGAAAACACCAGTGTATTATCAGATTTCTTGTTTCTCTCAGCCACTGTGAGCCAGCCCAGCAGCAAACTCCACCAGCGTACGYGTCGGTCTTCCAGACATGCCTTTGCTCAGGTAGGGAATTTCATCTTTGTTACTCATGACACCAGCAATGTCCAGATGAGCCCAGTGAGGAGCTGTGACAAACTCCTTGAGGAACGCAGCTGCTGTGCACGCCCCACCAGAGCTAGGGAGAAATTAAAGTAGTCAAAAATAAATAAATAACAGGAAAACAGAGCCACCACTGCACGCCTCTAAAGCTTTGAATGGAAGTCGTGAGGAATTACAGTGTGGGGTGGTGAGACACGTACCGGTTGTGCTTGCCGATGTTGTTGAGGTCGGCCAGCTGGCAGTCAGTCACCTGCTTTGAGTAATGCTGGAACAGAGGCATCCTCCAAACTCTGTCGCCTGTCACAACACTAGCCTACAAACACATCATTCGTCAGCTGAGGCTCTGAGACACTGACGTGTTGTTTGTGCTGCGTTTCTGTGGTACCTTGTGCAACTGCTCCCAGAGCCAGTCTGAGTTCGTAAAAACTCCCGTTGCTGCCGAACCCAGCGCTACATCCATTGCACCTTTGAGGAGATCAGTCACATCATTTGTATTATTCTTTATTTAATTATATTTCTGTAATCAGCAATAACAACACATCCTTACAGCCTGAGCGAAAGTGTAAAAAGGTCACTTGAATATTTGACAAACTGATTTTATGTCCGTGTGTAAGAATCTCACCCGTCAGCGTTGCAACATTGACAATGGCTCTGGGGTCAAAGCTGTGCGCGTAACAAAGAGCATCAGCCAGGATCAGTCTGCCCTCTGCGTCTGTGTTATCAACCTGAATGAAACAATAAAACCAGCCCGTCAGCCCATACATTAACACACACACACACAGATGTGATCTCAGACAGCTGTTTGAACCTGTCACCTGGGACTCCACCCACCTGGATTGTTTTCCCATTCTTGGCTCTGACAACGTCGCCTGGTTTTGTAGCCTTTCCGCTGGGCATGTTCTCGCACAGCGGGGCTAGACCTGAATGAATCAAAGTTTCCTTATGAAAACAGTTTCCTTGAGAACTAGAAATCTTTAAAAGATACGCGTATTTCAACTTTATTTTTTTAGACTTTTTGTTAAAAGACACAGACGGGATGCATAAATAGAGGAAAACGTGAAATGGATGATCAGACTTTTTGTATTATCTGTAATGTTTGTGTTTCAACAAACCACAAATATAGGCTCACRGGTCTCTAAAACTTACTTTTGGAGTCAGATGCTGAAAACTTGACCAAAAATTAAATCAAATAATATAAAAAACAAATCAAAGTTGATTAAATTAGGGAATTTAAATACACAAAATTAATGTTACATCATTTGAAATTATCTTGAAACCTGTATATATTTGTAAGTAAGTGAGTGAGTTTTAACACGGTTAAGTCATTTTATGTTTGCAGTTAATATTGAGTAACCAAAATGTTACTGAGCATTAATTAATTGTATAATTTTATTGTCACGACAAACAAACAAAGATAATCAAAATATGCAAATTAGAAATAAAACATAAAAAAGGAAAAAAATGTGCAAAATAAAGATTAAGTAAAAATTTGTTCCTGGTGTTTTATTCTTAATCAAAACTAATCCTTTAGGAGGGTATTTCATGTCACAAAGCTGACCTATTATGTTTACTGGAAGCTTCAGAGCAGCCGCTGTGACGATGGAGGCGCACACGGTGGCAGCMCCACCCATATCAGCTCTCATTTCATCCATAGACGAAGACGGCTTCAGAGAAATGCCTCCACTAGAAGGAGCAGAGGTAACACACAGGAAGTGAAAGTGAGGAGACACGAAACTGAACGGAAGCCGTGTTTCCATCGTGTTTTATGCACATTTTGAATTATCGCATCAGAAAAGGTGAATGGAAACGACACGATCTGAAAACACTTCCTCTATTTCGCAAAAAAGTTTTTACGCTCACTTGAGGTGCTTTTTTTTTTTTTTTTTTTTTTTTAAGGGTTAATGCCCAAATGGGGAGATGGAAACACATTTGCCGAATAAGTTCTGACGTAGTGAAAATTTATCTCACAAACTGATCAGATGTTCCCGCTGGCTGGCTGTCCGGTACCAGTACCAGCTGAGGCTGCAGCTGGACTCCTCTCAGATACAACTTTTTTATTTTTACTCATTTATTCTTTTCATTTAAAAACAAAAAACATATTTTTATACACAACAAAAAATATACAAATCCAAACTGAAATGAAAGGAGGTAGAAAGAAGAAAAAACTCTTATAATATCTGCCCCTTTTTTCCATAATGATTTTCAAGCAATAAAAATAATCAATAAACAAAACAAAATAAAAGCTTCAATTCCTTCTCAAACAACTTTTGATACAAATTATACAATTTCATATTTCTTTAACAAACTTGTTTTTATC